TTAGTCCGGATTACTCTGTCAAAAGATCGAACGTTTGACAGGTAATTAATCAATAGTTCGAAATCATTCAGTAGAGATATTACCTACTATGCGTTGGTCTGATCACTCAAATTGTGCAAAAGTATCCTGTGTTGTTGGTGTATACCATAAACGCCGATTTTCCAAGGTACCTATGCTAAGGTAACAGCAAACCCAGGGCGTGCAATGGAGTTTATTAAGCGTCGAACACTGAATGACAGAAGCTCCTCTGTCTGACCTAGTTTTGCCGGTTCGTACTACAAGACAAATGCTGAAAGGTAACCACTGATGAAGCACCTTTCCATGGAAAAATCTTAACCAGAGAAGACACCCATGTGGAAGGAGAAATTTCAGAAACGCGCGGACATTCCACTGCAATACACGGGAAACGGAAAACTGTTTGATTTCAAATGGCTGATTTAGTCTCTCTCCAGGAGGCGCTCGCAGTACGGTAAGGTTCATAGTTAGTCGTTACCTCAAAGGATTCATATTGTAGCACAGTGAAAATTTACTATAGAGAAGAATGTTAGCAGCTCAGGTAGCGTAGATGATCGTTGATTCGTTCAGTGAGTTGGAGAATTTGATTGCAATCAATCAATGCCCACAAACACCGACCCATTGTTACGCTGCACTACGCTGTCTCACAATGCATCAATGATATCACCTCGATTGGTGATGAATGTTTGCAATGGAATCGTCCAGCTCAATGACCACACCAACAGTGAAAAACTATTTGCCAATGATTCAGCGGTAATGAGGCGGTAAACTCATCAATTCAAACATCAAATCAACATCAAGGAGCTGATTGATGAGTTCAAGTAACGCAGGATAATTCGGTTGCTAACACCTACTCACAAGCGAAATTTCGTCACTCAGGGAACGTAACTCATCCGTTCTGCTCATCGTTAGTCATCCTTCCACGAGACACTACAATCTAGGAAGCATTCCGGAATCTCAAGAATGTGCGTCCTAGGTGGAGGGTATTGAAACTCACTTGTCTTCATGACAATAGCCTCATTCATTTGTTTACCCCGCCCGAGTACTTTTGATTTCCACTGGTTTTTCTATTCGCCACCCACCATTCACCTTGCTGCGATTGCTAGTCCGCCTGATACTAGTAAACTGGCACGTATGTGCGTGATGGTGTGCAACTGACATCCTTACCTATATTTCTTCGTGCCCCGTCTGCTGAGCCTGCCTTGATTTGCTCTGTCATGAGTTCCGAGTAGCCGCATCGCAGTCATAATCACAGGACTGTCCTCGGAATGGACGATCTCATCCCATACTGCAGAGTCAACATCCCGCTCGACGTTGTTTGGTTTGTTGACCTTGACACTTCACTATGCCGGTCAGTGACAGACCTGTGCACTTGATGTCGCAATGAACGTGGTCAGTTGAGGTACCGTAGGCTTCCGAACCCAATTCTTCCTTTTGATATTCAGGGTCGTCAAACCTACACATAACTCAAAGGTTCGTATCGGAAACCTCAACGATTTGTAATAATTTGATGAATTATTGTTTTTTTTGGTCAGTGACAGACCTGTGCACTTGATGTCGCAATGAACGTGGTCAGTTGAGGTACCGTAGGCTTCCGAACCCAATTCTTCCTTTTTGATATTCAGGTCGTCAAACCTACACATAACTCAAAGGTTCGTATCGGAAACCTCAACGATTTGTAATAATTTGATGAATTATTGTTTTTTTTGTCGCTTGTTTTGTTGGGCAAGTGTACTACGGAGGTAATTAATGACACCTTGGAGAATATTAATCCGAAACGTCCTCTATTCGGCATCTTGGGCAAGGACCACCGGTAGATTGCTTGAAGAATCCCAACGGTAAATTTAACACCTTTACAGATCAAATGACGCATGTTTCTCTTACCTTTTTATTGAACTCACACGTATATGTCCTTTGATGGGCATTTATTTGAGACGGAACGGCGATCAACACCGGTCGATCCGATGAAAGCCCGGAAGGTCGGGGTTAACTAAAAGCGGTCTGCACGGTGCTGGGTGCTGCCACGTATAAGCCTCTGATACCGATGAGATGAAATAACTTCTTCACCGCAAATTCATACATCAGTAAACACAAGCCAAGCGGTTACAAGTTATTGAACACGGCAGTAGATAACTCAAGTACATAGAGTTCTTGAAAAGCGAATATTCCTAAATATTCTATTGAAGTTTCGTAGACATTCTTTGAATATTAAACAATTATAAATGAGCACCACAAAGCGATTCCATACTGTCAACAGTAGCCTCCACCTTCCGTCAGATACGGAGAGGATTCTGGACTCTGAACGTTAGACTGCTTACATGCTTCATCAGTAGTATGCACAATTACACCGTTATAAGCCTGATGGCATAAAAATACGCCGACAAACACAAACGGGCATGCAGGAGTCTACAACCCGGTCTTAACCTGTTGGATAAGCACCAGACACAGTATTATTTTTTCTTCATACCAAAGCTCAGGCGTCATTCGTGAATTTCCACAAGTTTCACTGAAACACCACATCCTACAGGCGAATCGTCATAGCAAATTATATGCGGGAGCCCAGTGCAGTGCCCTTTAGTTTAGAGAGGATGTAGGGCTCTTTGAACAATATTCACATTATCAGTGGTGTTTTCATTTTGTAATTTGATAGTGGATTTGTGCATGTTTTCCGCGTACTAACAACAGCCTTGGGCGACTCAATAAATATTCCCTGGTAATTTGAAAATTTTACGTAGGGACCTGTGAGCTCGATCGCACTCATACTAGTAAGACTAGGAGTAGCACTGTTGCATGCATAGTGATCAGGTCAAACAGCATAGCGCCTTTTCAAATGGCGACCCTGTTTTTAACACTAGTTTGTTAACCAAATCAGCAATTTTCGAATCTGACTTGATGGTTTTCACAACGTTAGTCCAGAAGTGTGTTGAGCATTCTTCTACTGGAGGATGCTTCTGATCAGTCAGTGGTTTTATTGAGCCCAACATCAAGGTGTAGTTGCTTTCAGCGATATTCTTCGACTTGAAAGATGATTTCTGGATTTGTATCTGACCAGTTCTTCCATTCGCCTTTTGGAGAACATCTTCAGGCAATCAAATGTGTCATCGTTCTGATATTCACGTTTTATTGCCAAGCAGTAACAAAGGTGAGATGACAGCTTCCCACATAAAGACCTCGGTGATCCCGCGCAACTGTCGCCCCACTTCAATGCGTCTATGTTAGTACAAGGTATCTACTGCTGTAGACCTGAGGCTGGTTGATAAAAGACAAGCCTTTGAAATTGAGGCTAAAGATTGCCGGGTCGGATGCTATGGCCATTTGCTAAAATTCAACCCCCCCCCCCCCGAGGTATAAACAAAAAAAAACAAGAAAAAACAAACTGG